ATCCAGCGATCAGAACTCAAAAATGACACATTTTAAATTTGCTCTGAGACTGTGTGAGGACAACATGAAAAGAAATAAAACTTACACTGTCCAGATAGTTTGCTAGGCGGATCATCTCTTCTCTCACAGCAGTCTGGTTTTTCCCCATCATGTCATACTGAAAACACAAAGGAGGAAAACCACACTCACAAAGCAGCGAAACAAGATGCCTCTGCAATCCCCTACACTAAAGAAAAAAATGCCAAGGATTTCATCGAAACCAAAAATGGAAGCATCTAGACACTTACCGGCATTTCAAATGAACCAATTTCATTGTGGTGCCTGGAAGGAGAAATGTCTCCCATAGTCTCAGGCATTTGAATACTTGGTCCCCAGGCAATAGTGCTGTTGGGGAAGTGAGTAGGTGGGGACTTGCTAGAGGAAGTATGTCACTGGAGCTGGGCTTTATAAGTAAAATCTTCCCACCACTTCCAGTTTATTCTCTCTGCTTTGAGATCGTGGTTGAGCTGTAAGCTCTCAGCTCTTAGCACCATCCACCATGTCTACTACATGCAGCTATGTGTTCCCACCACTAGGAATCTAACTTTCAGGAACCATAAGCCAAAATAAACTTCTATAAGTTGTCTTAGTCATGGTACTTTATCACAGCAACAAAAAAATAATTAATACACTTAGGGACACATTTTAGTGATAAATAAGAATAATAAGGCACAATAATGAGATGCATTGAAGTCTTGGTTTTCTTCAAACATTGTGTAACTTTAAAATAAATTTTCTTCTCAGTTATTTTTATTGATTTTAGTGGCAAAGTATTCTCAAGATTTCACAAAGGTATAATCTTAAAATAGATAATAGAATGAAAAATTAATAGATTTCCTAATCTTTTATCTCTCAGGCTAATGACATCAACAATAAACTATTTCTAGACTCTAAGCTACAGTAATAATGAGAGATTAGTCCAGGGTCACAAGTTCAAAAATGTTATGTGGTTACAGAAATAGAGATACATAGAAATTTTACCATGTTAAACCAAGTATTTATGCACCCTTTGTATCTCGCTAAATTTGCATGCCTATTTTAATGTTATTTTAAACAACCTACTTGCTAACAAAAAGAAAAGCTTACAGAGTTTGTGACTTCGCTCCATGACAAACGTCTTAATAACAGAATCTGTGGTTGTATCTGTCCAGCCAGATCCTGCATTTAACAGAGCTTGATGGAAATGGAACCACTTTTATTCTGAACCATTTTCTACATGAGTATAACCAGCCTATCTGGAGAGAATGACAGAGAAAAACACTTTCAATCTCTATTTCTGCCACTTGTCCAAAAAACTCAACAGAACCTTTCGGTCACTGCCAGGGCTGGGTTCACACTGGCTTCCCTTCCCTTGTTTCCTCCCAGCACCAAGGGATCATAAACACACGGAGTACACATGTAGCTCTGACTAACCAGGGCTTTTACCAACCTACACACAAGAAGGGACTTCTAAAACCAGGAAAAAGGAACTTCAAAATGTTCTCTGCAGCTTGCCCATCAAACCATGTCTATAAATACTTTTTCATACACACAAAAACATAGAAGTCACCTGGAACATTTCCAATCATCTACACTGTAAATTATTTAGGAGCTATGTTAGGAACCGATGATCTTATAGTTGCTGAGAAGGACGAAGTACCTCTCCCAAGGAAAACTAGTAGCTCAGTGTTTTAGGACAAATATGGAAAGTGTCCAGCTGTTAACCCTGTACCCTGAAAATAATAAGTGCTTCTGCAGCATGACAGGACCCGGGCCTGGTCTCTTAGAGTGAGGAAGACATCCTCTGAAACAGCAAAAAGCAAGTCAACACCCAACTGTCCTGGCTTATAGCCACAGCCTGTCAAGTAATCTGAAAAGGGTGGCAAATACAGCCTAAGGAAATCACTACAAAGAGCAGGGTTACACTGTCCCATTTAGGTTTATGGATAAAACTAAGCCGGCATGAGTACACGCCCATAATTCCAGTACTCGGGAGACTCAGGCAGGAAGATTAGGAGCTCAAGACATAGCAAGCCCCTGTCTCAAAACAGACAGATAGATGGATGCACTATTTTAGTTTTGAGATTACCGCTTAAGTCAACTGTTAATTGCGTTTTATATTTCCTTCATAAATTATTCACTTCCCAATTGCTTTTTTATGAAAAAGGAAAAAAAGTCAGCAATTCCTACCCTTTCCTTGTCTACAACAATGAACAGCTCCACATAGCGGGTCTGCGGAAGCACGGCTCTTCTTCTCTGTTAAAACACAAGCCCAAGAACAGGTTTGTTAAAAGGCCAGATACATTCCATATGAGCAATGGTCAGACCTAAGATCTAATGTGACTTCACATCTGCTAAAAGCAGTATAGACTGTTTTACTTAGCATACCTTATCAATAAAACAAGTGTTAGTTATTTGTACTGACAAGAGAAAAACTCTAAAGATAAAATTGGTTACCTATGTCTCCAAAAGAGCAGAATTGCTGATTTTTTTTTTAATTGAAGCACATATACATACACCTTTTAAAGGGGAACCCGATTATCATGGTAAGACAGGAAAAACAAACAAACAAACAAACAAACAAACAAAACACCTACTGAATCTTACAGAAAAAGATGAAGCAGGGTCACCAGTATAAAACTGTGGCTTAGTTATGTCTTTTTATAGAAATTCATGCAAAACAGAATAAGCAAGTACCTAACTGCTCTCCAGTGGTTAGAGAGTATGGGGCAGAAAAGGTGGTTACAGTAATGTCGTGGTCAAGTATTGGTTAATTTAAAATATGCCTCACAGCAGCATTGTAAAAAATGCATCTTAACCTCACAAAACAAAACTGCACACCTCACCCAGCATGTGGGCACCATGTCATTCATGAAGAAGAAGCACCCTGTAGCTGAGGTAAGCTGGCCCTGGAACGACAGCTGCCAACAGCCCCACATCTTGAGTAGTGCAGGGAATCCTCAAAAGCAGGGACCTGAGTGTCCTTGAACAATGTCTGAGGTAATAATGATCTTGAATCTCTATCCCCCCCCTCTCTCTCATTCTCTCTCTCTCTCATTCTCTCTCTCTCTCTCTTTCTCTCTCTCTCTCTCTCTCCCTCTCTCTCTCTCTCTCCTCACCTAGAGTTGGCAGCATCAAAGTGAAACCTCCGCTGCTATCTTGGCCAGAGTGCAATGATTGCACAGCAATGCCTAAGAGGACCACTGCCTTCCTTTAAAATGTAGACTGCCCTCCTCTCAGTTGCCAGAACTATGGATTGCTCATCCTCCCATACTCTGGTTATGATAACAACACCTGGCATGGAGCTAGAAAAACTCAATGAACACTTTTTAGTTTGAAAAGCTAAGATTCCTTAAAAACAGTCTGAGGCCCAAAGAGTGAGTGCAATTGCTCCTTACACGCAGCAGCTGAGTCACACTTGGGTGTTCTTGCCAGTCCTCCTTTATGGCCTCCTTTTCTATGTCCCTGTTAGAAACTCCACATCTCAAAGGCTCCTGCTGGACATCATCCATTGGGTAAAATATGTGCTCGAAGTTCGAGCTGTTGTGCAGAGGTTCAATTCCAAAACTGGCATTCTCGAAATGCAGCAATCCTCTGCAGGTTGTGGGACACAAACCATCGTTAAGCAAAAAGAAATACACAGGAGAATCAGAGCTGAATTTTAATCTCTAAAACACAGAAGGAAGCTACTGTGCACTAAGGAGGAATGGGCTTCAGAGTCTGGCCAGCACATGTAAGTGTCAGCTTTCTGTCCTCCACTTACTCAGCTCCAACATGAGGCCTGCAAAGTGGCTGGCAGGGAAGGTGGCAGCCAGCACCAGAGTTTGACCCGGAATGTGATTTCTACGAGCCCAGAGACTCTCAGCAGATCATTTAACCTTTGCCTTAGTATAGAATCTACATAGAATTGTTCCCATTAAATTATTTAATATGCGCAAAATACTTAGACTACTTCCTGGCAGACAGCAACCATTTACTAATGCTGTTCCTTACATGAAGACAATGGCAACCATCATCTATAGCTGATTTGAAAATGGAAAGCAGTAACTATCAGTTCCATCAATTGGGATAGTTCCACATAGTCAGGCCTCCAATGCCAGTAACAGTAGCGTTACTATAACTGATGTGTGACAGGATTTCTCTGGACCTTGTTTACTTATGTGAATACAATAATTAATAATTTGCTTATGTGAATATGATTTTTAAAAAGCCCTTTTTCTGTCACTGTGATACTTGCATGGAATAAAACAGGAGAAAACCTTAAAACATGCTATAGAAATTTAAAATGTATTTTGTTTCAAATAGCAAATTTTTCTATAGTCTCAAAAAATGAAATTCTCCCATTGAACAACTGATCAATTACTAAGTTTTTCTAAACAAATATTCCAAGAATATTTGAGGCATGGCTGGAAAGGTCTTTAGTATCTCAAAGTAAAATCCAACTTCATTAAACACCAAAAGGACCCAATCTGGAATGGGGAGGAGAGGCAAGGGCAGATATCAGGGAGGGAAGGCAGACTCCTCACCTGAGGCCAGAGCAGACACTCACAGCAACAGCTGAATTGTGCACTCCCTCCACGTAGCCCCGATAATGACAATGACTCTAAATGAAAAACACACATGCTTCAAATGCTATTGTATGGCTCAAATCTGTCAAGACACTGCAAAGCTAACCACATTCCTAGGCAGGAGAAGCTAGAGTTCCAGGCCAGCCTGGGCTACATAGTTAGACTCTGTCACAAAAGTAATAAGAAGAAGATCATCTAGGTGCGATGAAAAGAAAGACTAAAAACTTTACTACTTTAATAAACAATTTAAGCCGGGCAGTGGTGGCACACACCTTTGATCCCAGTACCTGGGAGGCAGAAGCAGGATGATCTCACTGAGTTCGAGGTCAGTCTGGTCTACAGAGCTAGTTCCAGGACAGTCAGGACTGTTACACAGAGAAACACTGTCTTGAAAAACCAATTAATAATAATATGGGAGAGGGGGCTGCACGGGACAGAAAGACAGGCAGAGAGGGAAGGGGGAGAGGAAGATGGGAGGTGGGCAGGGCCCCTATAAAAGGAACAATGAATGTGCACAGGTGGCTCTTAGTGGCTGCAGCTGAGGGTGTATCCTGTCAGAACCCCAAGGACAGGCCAGTACAGATGCCTGAATACTAACATTGACCCCCTTTCACAGGAATCTCCTATCAGAAGCTCTACAAATGCACTTGCTTACATGGCAGAGCTTCAGCAACCCTCATATGCGAGAAAGAACCCTGAATACAAACAGATAAAATACGAACATTGCCATTGGACAACCATCAGGAACAACTGATTTGAGGCAAATGCTGAATACAGGAACTACTGAACAAAAACTTAAAAGTGGAGGGATTTACACAACTCCAAATTCTGAAGGTAAAAACAGTAACTTTTTCCAGTAATTACTTTCCCAAGGAGAACCTCAGAAGCTGACTCCTTAACCAATCACTGATCTTGTTAACCATTAAACAGAAGGACCTGGGCAGGATGTGTCACTAATAAGACACACTGGGAAACAATAAAGCTGGCCAGTACCAACAGGTGACCCTGAGACCATCAGCCTGATGGACTATTTAATAACTTGCTTTATGAAGTATTTCCACAACACTGTTTAGTTCTGCTGCAGGTACCTTATCTATATGAGCAAATCTGCCAAGAAAGACCCAATCCCTTCAATTTTATTAAAATTTCATTAATGGGATGAAAGTCTGCAGTCTGTCAACACACTTAGGCAGACTTTTGTCACATACCCTTGCTCTCTATCCAGTCCCACACAAGAACATTAACAAACGGCCATCTGTTCCAAAGCCAAAGGACTTTGTCCCAGGTCACTTCATGTTCTCCAGGCCTGTACAATTCTCCTAAACTTTACTTACTGCTCTCTCCGAAGTTCCCCAACTCCCCACTCCTAGAGGAAACAGGGTATGTGAGTTTCTAGAGCATGTTAGGCTAGCTATAACCACACTGATTTCTTAACATACTGTAGCCAGCAAACTTTCAAAGAATGGAGAGAAATTTTCCCTTCACCAGAATAGTTCTCAAAACACAACAAATAGTGTTTTCAAGTTTACAAAACTGATAATCACACTGAAAGGCAGAAAAGCACCATAGTGAAGAACGCCTGGTATGCACCACACTGAAGCACACAGACTCAAGGCAACTCTGGCTCCTAAGGGCAGAGCAGAGCAGAACCACCATAGAACTGCTCACTAGCCCAGGGCCCAGGGAGCCTTGGCAATCTGTTCTCAGAGAGAAGGAAGGGCATCAGTGCCCAAAGGGGCAGAGCTGTGAGAGGGGGCAGAGCTGTGAGAAATTCTACCAAGTCCCAAAATAATCCCAAAGTCCTCAAGCGACGTAATCGCCCAGTTTTCTTCTTATTAAAAATGGCTTTGTGAGAGGCAGAAAACAGCTTTATTAATTGCTTCAATTTTAAGAAATAGAATCTCAAAGGAAAACATTTAAAGTTTACAAATTTACATGTAAATTAAGTGTGTGTTGTACACAATACCATGTCATTGTAAGGGACAATCTAGTCACATGCAAAGAAATGAGTGTATAAGTTTTACTTTGTATTTCAAATCTATTGACACACTTTCATTTTCCTGAACAATATTAAACAACCAAAAAATAATTGAAATGCCTCATGTTGATACCTGATATTTTTCAAACACCTAGCAAAAAACTATCATTCTATAAAGCTTAAATTACTGAAGTTTCTATACAATTGAAATCTATTTTTGAAATTTTAAGTAGATAGCCTTTCAATAATAAATAGTTATATTTATTTATAAATTGCTGGACTATCTCTTGTAAACAACCCTCAAGTATTAACTCATTAAAGTGCCCCAGTAACTCCATGAAGTCACAGCTACGATGCCCATGTTAAAGTGAAGATACCAAAGCACTAACAAGTTGGTACAATCTCACCAGACAATAAACACGGAACCAGAATTCAAGCTTAAACAGTGTCTGTATGGGAACGAGGCTCCACAAAGAACACCAAGAGCTCAGGGGCATCAACTGTGATCTTCGGCTTCTTACCATAGAAATCTCTGGATGAATGAAGAGATGGATGGATTACCTTTTATCTGGAATATACTACAATGTGCATTCAATCTCTTCTACTAGCTTCCTATTAAACAATGCAAAGTCAGTAAGATAAAGGAATCAGATAATGGACAAGAAATTGGGCAAAGTCAGCATTTCCTTATGTTTTTATATAGTGCAAACTAAAGAATTTGCTTCCGGTTCTTTTGAAGAACACAACAAAAGCATGTTACTGACATACATGATTCCATCTAACAAGGCAGTACAAAGTCCAAGAGAAACAAGAACAGTGGGAATAAAGACTTCTCATAACAGCCAGAAACTGGAAGCAGCCTAGATGCCCCTCAACCGAAGAATGGATGGAGAAAATGTGGTACATTTACACAATGGAGTACTACTCAGTGGGAAAAAAACAATGGAATCTTGAAATTTGCAGGAAAATGGATGGAACTAGAAGAAACCATTCTGAACGAGGTAACCCAATCACAAAAAGACAAACATGGTATGTACTCACTCATATGTGGATTTTAGACATAGAGTAAAGGATTACCCGCCTACAAGCCACACTGCCAGAGAAACTAGTAACAAGGAGGAGCCTAAAAGAGACATACAAGGCCCCCTGGAGAAGGGGAAAGGGTCAAGATCTGCTGAGCAAATGGGAGCATGGGAAGAGGGGGGAAGGAGCTAAGAGAATGAGAAGGGAAGAAGAGGAAGGATGCAGAGGTCATGAGGGAGCAGAAAGGTTGAGTCAGGAGAAGAATAGAAGAAAGGATATGTGATAGGTAGGGTTTTAGTTGGGGGTAGTATGGGAGGATGGGAGGGAGAAGGGAACTGGGATTGTCATGTAAAACAATCTTGTTTCTAATTCAAATTTTAAAAATCTGAAAAGAAAAAAAAAAAGAACTATTGCAAAAGAAAAAGTGTGCAATGCCTAAGTGCCCAGGGGACTATAAAACACTCCTCCTAAGCAAAACTAGAAATGTTTACACTCCGAGAAGAAAAGACACCACCAGGCCAGGCTTGGTACCTGCCAAGTACTTGGAGAATTCCAGGCCAGCTCTGTCCCCTAGAGTGTTCTGTTGCCTGACACAGAGAGGACCACACCTCTTCAGGAATGAAATGTCAGCAAAAAAAAAAAAAAAAAAAAAAAAAAAAAAAAAAAAAAAAAATCAGAATATCAGAATATGTAATAACAAACCAATGTGTTTTTGCTGGACATGAATAACAAAAGGAAGGAGTGCTTTTAAATACTAACATTTTACCAAAACAGTAAAAGCTCCAGTCATCAAATTATCACTCTTCCCCTTCACAACCAGTAAGGACTGTCATTAGAGAGACAGTTATTTTCCCATCTTTTAAACATGAATCTTTTTTTGTTTGTTTGTTTGTTTGTTTGTTTTATATAGTCCAGGCTGGCCTTGAATTCACAGAGATCCCCCTGCGTCTGCCTCCCGAGTGCTGGGTTTAAAGGTGTGTGCCACCACCTCCTGGCTCTAAACCCAAATCTTCACTAATGAGTGCAGAGAGCTGTATGGTATGGATCAGTCTCCTCCAGGACCATCATACAAGGATGTGGAAGATGTCCTGTGGGGCTGGCAACAGGGCAGTCCTGGAACCCTGACAAGAACAACTTTAAACTCTGTAAAGTATCCAGAGGAAAACAAAGTACCTGCACACTGGGACGGTCAGAGAGCAGAGTGCCTTCCTCATCGTAGGTATAGACTACAAAGTCATTAGGTAAAAGGTCTCTGGAAGAGAAATAAATGTGTCAGTATCAACAGCCTAGGGCTCAGCTCATACGAAGTTATTCCCAGAAGAAGGAGGCAGAAATTCACATTTAAAAACTTTACCTCATCCATCCTTTTAAAGAAAGTGCTGCTATAAAAGTAAAAGCTAGTAAACAGACTTGAGCTTCAAACATTAGTTGAGTAAAGATACGATTTGCTCTCTTGACATAAGATGTTGGCTGTAACAAACAGTATTCTTAAATTTTTCTGCTATAACTCACAAGAAAAGGACAAATGAGGCTGCTTGACACTATTATGTTTGTAAAAGAAAAGTAAGTATTTTATATTCCTTTCTACAAAGTACTATGTAAACAAGAAACACTCACTGCCTTAACCTACATATGAAGACAAACGCCTGCTGTCCATTGTTAAAGGAACTGCTTCCCCCTCAGGCTGAGGAACAGTTGTATGTATCAAGGAAAAGCAAGCTTCTCTCACACTGATTGCAGCAGCTTGAGGTGATCTCCAGGCCTTGTGGAAAATCAGAGATACAGGATGCATTGTGTGGTTAAAGACACCCAAGACCAATGGACCCTTCTGTCCAGAGATGTACAAACTGATGGTCTTTACCCAGTGTCACTGCTTACCCTGACAGACTTCAGCTCCATGACTACTGTGGCACAGAAAACCCTTGGTGAAACTGTGCCCCTGCCTCCTTGAATACAGGAAACCCCATGGCCAAAAATCTGGAGGCAAAGCAGTCCCTGTGACTAAGACCCTGGAGTACTTGAAACTCCAAGACTCCTGAGTATTCTTTGTCCCATATGCTGTGTCTTTGTGAAGACATCTTCTTTGTGCGCAGTATGTTCACAGAGGAGTCAATGTGTTGTAATTTAAGAAAAGCAATGTGCATTCGAGAGAAAAATGCCAATTCGACAGGGTTCAAGCAGAGGGTTTTTTTTTTTTTTCTTTTCTTTTCTTTTTTTTTAGGGAAAGGGATCATAAAAGGGGGAAAGGGTGGGAGGGAGACTGGACTCTGAAGACAGCAGCAGCATGAGAGAGGAGAAAGGAAAGAGGGGGAGAGAGAGGAAAAAGGGGGGAGAGAAAGAGAGGGGGCAGAGAGGGAGAGAAGGAGGGATAGGAGGTAAGCAGGGTCCTTTAAAAGGGAACATAGTGAATGTGCACAGGTGGTGCTCGTAGTAGCTGAAGCTGAGGGTATATCCTGTCAGAACCCCAAGGACAGGCCAGTACAGATGCCTCAATACTAACACTATGGAGTTGAGTCTTTTCATAAGCTGACCTCAATGGTCACTGGAGGCTATACACATACACCACACACACACACACACACACACACACACACACACACACACACACACCACCATTCATTCTCCCTAAAGGTGAATTTGAAAAGAATTAAGCTATATATGCCTGGCTTCCCTCTGCATATTCCTCTTGGAAGTCACCGCCTGTCCAGCCACAGCATGAATTCTTGTGGACTTCAAGTTCAGGCCTACCCCTGTGCATCAGGGTCAGCAATAACTAAACCTGATGATTTCAGGGTTCAGACTCCACTGAGCACTACCCAGAAAAGAAATCAATATACTGTTGAAGGAAAAACATAATTAAAAAGGCAATGTAAATGAAATGTCTTACATGTTTCTTTCCAAGTGAATAATATGCTGTTTTCCTTGAGCCTCAATGACATAAGACACCTAAATGCACAGAAAAGGAAAAAAGCAATAATAAAACACCATCTTGTAAATTACTTTTCAACATATCACAAGAGGCAGGAAAGGTCATTCTAAATTAAAATAACTTGGCAATGACCGGAACTGTTTATAGAAAGTATTCTTAAGTAATATATATATTCTATTCATCTGTCTCCCTTTAATACCTGATCACAGAAAATTGCCTACACATGTATCTCCTCTTTTTTAATTTGTTTTAGATTTATTTTATTCATTTTATTGGGGGGGTGAACACCATAGCCAACAGATTGTCAATCTGCAAGAGACAAAAAGGAAGTCAAGTTCAATATGACTCAGTAGCTAGAGTTAATTCAAACTTTGAGAGTTTGGCACCGAGTAGTTTATTTTAAGCATATTTAAGGACAACACAATTTGGGAAAAGTTCCTGGTGATAATTAATTCAATCCTATGTGCACAACAAAGCTTAAGACATGACTATATAGAAACTTTTTTAAAGTACATGTGACATTGCCCATAGAGATGAGATCTATAGATTGACTACATGTGATATCTTAAGGATCTAGGGGAGGGTCTGTCATGGTCTAAGTCACGCAGGCTATCAACCACTTCCACTCCCAGGCTCCTGGGCAGAAAACAGGTATCTCTGCCTTTGAGATGTTTAACATGCCTGGTTTCCCTAGTGCTTATCTGTGAGCACAAGGACTTCCATGCCGCCTACATTATTTTACATACATGCATGTTTTGCCTATATCTATGTAGGTATACTGTGTGTGTGTTTGGTGTCCTTGAGTTCAGAAGAGAATGTAATATCTTCTGGAACTGGGATTATGGATGTTGTGAGCTAATGTATGGGGACTGGGAACAGACCCCAGCTCTGCAGCAAGGGCAACAAGTGACCTTAAGCTATGAGCCAGTTCTCCAGCCCTAGTTGTCTGTTCTTCCTAAATGTGTTCATGAATCAGCTGTAACTTCAGGAATTACTTTTCAGTGCATCCACACTTGAGTTCTTCCTTCTGTTTAAGTAAGTTTCAGGAGATTTTCTAGTTATACAAAAGTGCACAGGAAATTCCAGGTCTCTTGATGGGGGAGGTCTTTCTATGTATGTTTATCTTCTTATTGATTGTTGAATAAAGTACTGTTTGGCCAATGAGGCAGCAAGTTAGGAGGGACTACGAGTCAAGGAGGATTTTGGGAAATGTAGTAAAGAAGTCTTGCAATCCAGGCAGTAAGTGACATAGAAGGCAGACTCATATATAAGCAAAGACAAGAAGGATGTCATCCCTTTTCTCTTCCTCCTGCTTTCTGCTCTGGAGCTGCCATGTGATCCCAGCAAGAGAAGCCACCAGCAGCTGACGTCCGATAAGATTAGTCTTCATGGTTGATACTTAAGACTGAGCTAGCAAGTAAGAAATCCTAGGGATTAGCCAGCAGCATTGTACCTAATATAAGTCTCTGTATGTTACTTGGGACCCTAATGTGGCAGCAGGTGGAACTTGAGCAGTCTGGCAGAAAGCACCCACATGGCGGCAGGGCTCGGGTGGATGCAGCCAAAAGACTTATCGTTACAGTCTCTTATGACCTTTTCAGCTTATCTCATCAACTCTAACACAACTCACACTTTCTCCTCCTGACAATAGAACTCTGGGATGAGAACACACCACACACAGATGTGGCAATCTTGCTAGCAGCACTTGGGTGTCTGCAGTATTGATAAACAGTATCTTACAACTGAAGGCATCTTAGAGTTAATTATTCAGATGACTCTTTCTCATCTTCAAGCTCAGGGGACCTTTATCTCTATCTCAAACAACTTCCCTATTCTAACTATAGGACAAACTATTGATCTTAAGGTCATGTGCAAGGGCTTGGTCCCAAGAACAGCACCAATGGGAGGTGCAAAGGATCCAGATGTACATGATTACCCCATTAACAACAGAAAAAACTCCCTCCAATGAGAAAATAACACTTGATTTCCTGATAAACAGTTTTGCTATTTTTTAATCAGCATATAAAATATCTGATATTAAAACTCAGAAGTACTTACTCCCTGAAACAACCACTCCTGCAAATATCACCTTACATTAAGAAAAGAAAGAACTGTAATTTAGTTCTGGAGAGAACTCACCTGCTTTGAACTGGGCCTCAGGGCTTCCCTTCTTTCTCTAGTTAATCTCCAAGGAGTTGTAATTTCATAAGACAAAAGATGCTTTGTCTGCTGAAAATCTGCAGCAAAAAGAACAACAAATATAACAAAGTGAACCTGAAAAATCTACTAGGTACCAAAATACTGAAGATAAAAACTGAGTGTTCAGTTGGGTGTAATGTTGAGCATTTTTAATCCCGGCACTTGGGAGGCAGAGGCAGTAGGATCTCTGTGAGTTCGAGGCTACACTGGTCTACATAGTGACTTTAGGACAGCTAGAGATACACAACAAGACCCTATCTTGAAAAACAAAAAAAATTAAGTGTTCAAGACATTGAAAAAAATCACCTGAGCATTATGTGACCTTTTAAGAAATTATTTTATTATTCTATTTTATGGATGTTTTGGCTGCATGTATGTCTGTGTGTATGGTGTGTGCATGGTGCCCACAGAGGTCAGGTGAGAACCCACTGAAAGTGGGGCTAAGGAGAGTTGTGAGCCACTATGTGAATGTTAGAATCAAAAATGGATCCTTTGGAAGAGCAGCCAGTGCTCTTAACTGATGAGCCATCTCTCCAGACCCTCTTGTGATTTTTATATATATATAATCCTACATAAGAATGAGAGTAAAAATATTTCCTAAGAAAAAGATACCAGTCTGTATCCAAACAGTATGTGCATGTGTGTTAAAACAATCATTTTCAAACATTTTGCAACTATATACTCTAGTCCTTTTCCTCAACATGAAGAAAAGAACATGAGTTTTAATATGGCAGAGTGCCCAGCTAGGGCTCAGTGAATGTACTTGTCTCTTACACCCTCCTATTCATCTTAAATGATACCCTAACAGAGTTTTTTTTTTAAAACACTGAATAAAAATGATAAGGGTAAGATACCTTTAATATTTAAAGGGTCAACTCTAATATGCACTAACAATGGACCAACTATCTCATATGAAATGACTACATCACAAGTCCATCAGAAGAAAATTTTACATGAAAACTATTAACAGTTAAGAACTCTAATCATACATACTTAGATTCTAAAGTTATCTGTAAAATCAAGTATCTTAGTTTGGGTTTCTATTGCTGTGAAGAGTCACTATGACCACAGCAACTCTCATAAGGAGTTTAATTTAATTTAATTGTGGTGGCTCACTTACAGTTCTATTATTGTCATGCAGGAAGCAAGGCAGCACAAAGACAGATATGATGCTGGAAAAGGAGCTCAGAGTTCTTACATCTTGACTCACAGACAACAGAAAATGGTCTGAACACTGGGCATGGCTTGAGCATATATGAAACCTCAAAGCCTGCCTTCACAATGACAGGATTCCTCCAACAAAGCTACACCCACTACAATAAAGCCACACCTCCTAATAGTGCCACTCCCTTTGGGGGCTATTTTCTTTCAAACCACCACACCGAGTACAACCAGAACTGAAAGACAGGGCAAGACATAGTAGTGCACTCTTCAATTCAGTGGTTCTCAGCCTGTGGATCATGGCCACTTTGCAAATCGAATGACTATTTGATGGGTTGGCTAAAACCATCCTGCATATCACATTACAATTCATAACAGCAACAAAAGTAGCTATGAAGTAGCAATGAAGATAAGTTTATGGTCGGGGTCACGACAACATGAGGAACTGTGTTATTAAAGAGTTGCACACAGCATTGGGAAGGTTGAGAACCACTGATCCCAGCACTTGGAAAGCAGAAACAGTCAGATCTGAGTTCAAGGTCTGCCAGGAATACACCGTAAGACATAAAAAGGCCCTATTGCAAAAGCAAACAAAAAAATACCACCACAAACTGAACAATAAATCATGTTGGATATAGCCTCTTCTCTCAATGAGCCCAACACAAAATATCTTTTCCTTACAGTATCATCACTAAGGGCATAACAATTCTTTTTCATTGTTTTTACTGTTTTTATTACTTTTGAGACAAGATCTCACTAATTACTCAAGATAACCTTGAACTCATGACTCTCCTGCCCTGGCTCTGTCTTCCCAGTGTTGAAATTACAGGAGCTCACCACCACCCCCTACAGCCATGGGGAAAGTTCTGTCAGTAAAGTCTGATGAGGGATGGTCACTGGCCACCGGTAGGAAGCTTCAGATCAGAATGCCAAGGAAGGAGCACAGCTGCATCTCACTAAGCCTCCAACTCTTAAAACATAGGAAACATAGGACTTAATAGTATCCTTAAAAATCTCCTCTTGCATGGGTAGCCTGTCCCACTGCTAACAGTCACCCTGGAAGTGTGGCAAGGTAAACACAACTAATAATAAATTCCGTGTGATCAAAGGTAAACTATATTCCAGAAAAAGATGACAAAATGTTGGGGGGAGATAAGAAGGTGGGAGTGGATATGAGGGGGATCTGGAGGAAATATGATCAAAACACACTGTAAGAAATTTTCAAAGAACTTTTTAAAGTAAACTAGCCGGAAGCTAGGTGGGAGGGGCAAGCCTATAATCCCAGCACTCAGCTGAGGTGCTTACAGTAAAGACACAAGTTCAAGGTCAGCTTCAGCCACAAAACAAATTTGAAGCCAGCCTGAGCTAGAGGCCTAACTAAAAAAGAAGAAAAAATGGCATATTTTTCTCCAACTTCCTGCCATGACTCATTATTTCAAAGAGAAAGTTTAAGCAATTCCCTACAGTCAGGAACATATATGCTGACAGGCACAGTTCACCATACAGGAGAGGCTGAACCACAGGCAACTAAATGAAAACATTTGCACTACAATTCAGAAGTGAACCTCACAGAGAGAAAAATGTGAAACACTTCAAAAAGACAGAATTTGAAGTTCTAATGGGCAGGCAGATATTTCAAGAGTTCTCTATCCAAAACAGGTTCTGTGACTTTCTAAGGTCATCTGCCTCCTTTAGGCCAGGAAAAGTCAGGTGTTCTGTTTTCTAAGGAATCTTTTACCTGGATGGCTACAGGAGACAATAAAAGCTAGATACAAGAATAGAAACTAGGCCAGGAGTAAGGGCACAGTCTTTAATCCCAGCACTTGGGAGGCAGAGGCAAGCAGAACTTGGTGAGCTTGAAGCCAGCCTGGTCTACAGAGAGTTCCTGATCAGCCAGAGCTACACAGTGAGACCCTCAAAACATCAAAAATATATATTATATAATATGATATTATATAATATAATGTATATATTATATTTTTGTCAATTGGGAACCATATCAGAAAATATATTACTGAAATATATATATATTCTGCCATATGTATGCACACATATGGTAGAATGTTCTTTCTATGGCTCCCATTTTAAAATAATCTTTTGTTTCGTAAAACAAATGTCACAATCATTTGTGGCTTTTTAAGGTTTCAAAATTATAGCACTTCTGTATTTAGGAGTTCTTACTCTGACACTGACTTCTTTCAAAGACCCAAGGATCCACCTCCTGCATCCAACTCATGAACAAAAAGCCATGTACAAAGGTTTTGAATGTGTGTTATTTCGAAAGAATACACACTAACTACAAGGGAATCCTTGTTCCTCTTTTTTTTTTTTTTCAAAATTCTTTTCTTATCTCTGGTTTCTTTTTTCTTATGTCCTGCTCATTCCTTGCATGGATTTTCCCTAATTCCTCTAATCTATGCTTCTTCCTGTGGGAACCAAAATGCCATTTCTCTCATTTTACTGTAAAGGAAGTTATTTAACCTTCATAACCCTGGCATTGTGGGCTGGAAAAATCCTTGGTTGTGTTGTGGGTCATCCTGTGCAGTGTAGGCATGTCTACTAGCACGCAGGCCTCCACTCTCCAGATGCCAGCAATGCTGGTTCTGACCACTAAAGTGTCCTGTGTGCCTGCAGGTGGAGTATGCAACATTGCACCCAATTAAAAACTACTGGGGATGCCAGGTGTGGTGGTTTAAGCCTTTAATCCCAGCACTCAGGAGGCAGGGGCAGGCAAATCTCTCTGAGTTAGAGGCCAGCCTAGTCTACAAAAGAGCTCTAGGACAACCAGGGCTACATAGTCAGAGCCTGTCTCAAAAGTTTTTTTTTTTAAATAATTAAAATGCTAAACACCAGGGGGAAAGATACAGTTCACAATAAAAGTAAAAATCTTAAGATAATGTGAGGTATATAAACTTTGCTATTAGACTCTGACAGAATAAGCACACTGTTAAAAATAAGGACACTAGGAGACAGGAACTGAAGAAAACTCAAAAGTTGAACCGAAAACTTAAAGGTCCGATGAGAATTTTGCCTCCTCTGACTTCTCAGGTCTTTTTATGCATTTCTGAGGAAGTCAAGCAACTGTGGTAGAAAAAAAAAAAAAAATCTTCCAAAGAATTCTACCTAATTGCAAGACAAACAAACGGGTATGCCAAGCCGCCAGAGCCTTTCTTCTTCTCTTCCTGCTTATTACCTAAACAAATAGCCACCTTTATGTACTTTCACTGTAAAAGATAAACCTCCACCTTCAGGTTGAGTGAGATAATCTGTTGTCTCAAGTACTCCTGCAGGGAAAGGACTGTAATTAGAGGCCAACTGCTATTCCAAACCCTGTATCCTCACTCAAGTCCCAGGGCCAATCCCAAACCTATGCATTTCAGCTACTATCTCCTTCAAGTGCACATTCCTGCCCCTGTGTTCTATACTGTCACATGCCTTAAGACATATGCTTCTTTATTGACCTATCTTTAAAAAGAGAATGTTCATCCTGGGCTGTATTTCAAAGATCCTGTCCCCAAATAACAAAACAAAATGCTATTTTGGTCTTGAAGTACCCCATTGGGAAAAACTCCAATCATCTAGAAAACGTAAGGCTCTTAAGAATGTAAGAAAGGAATTTAATCTGCTGAGGCCAAGACAGCTACTTCCTATCAGATATATACTATAAGCACTCAATAAAATGTGCCCTCCCTCAGCAGCCTTCTGTGATCCTTACAGACTCTCCTCCCCACCCCACTTAAATCGAACCTGCCTTTTTTAAAGATTAACATCTTTCCTGAAAATATCCAGGGCTCTCAAACACTTTTTACCAGCAACACTAAATTCCCCTCTCCAAACTAGAGTTGGGAGTTCTAGATCAAGAGTGTAATTGTGACAGAATCTGACTGTGCCACACAGGTTAATAAGGAGTGAGGGCTCTGCCTGCCTGGGATTCTACTAAAAGAAAAGGGAAAGGACATGCTAATGCGAGTTAAACTATGAAAAATCTCATTATAAGAACAACGTGTCAAAGGGGAAAAAACATATTTGGAAGTGGAGTTTGTCCTACAATATAACATGTTTTGTGGTGATGCTTCTTTACAAAATTTATCTTAAAGATTTAGCAGTAAGTTAAGATAAAGGAAAACAAACCCAAACATAACATCGTGCTTCAAACCTGACCACTAGCTCTCAGGGGGCAGAGGCAAGGAGATCTCTGTGAGGTGGGAGCCAGCCAGGGGTATAAAAAGAAACCCTGTCTCAAAAACAAAATAGAGGGAGGGAGGAAGGGAGGGAAGGAGGGAGGGAAGGAGGGAGGTAGGAGGGAGGGAGGAGGGAGGGAGGGAGGCAGGGAGAGAGGGACTGAGAGGAAGGAAGTCGAGCAGTATGATGACTAGACATGAATTTCCCAGGCTAGCTCCCTTTTTATTCTTTTTTTATTAATATTAATCTTGGAGGCTGGCACAGAAAGCAACAGGTTTCTGTCTTGGCAGCCTCATAAATGTCCTTACAGTTTGTTCTCATCCACTCCCCTCCTTACTCACTCTTAAAGGATGTACCACGAGACAGGAAGTTGGAAGAGAACAGGGAAATGGGGTGAGTCTGGGAGGGTTAGAGGGTGAAGGAGAGTGAGTATATTCAAAACACACTGAATGAGATTCTCAAAAATTAAAAATACTGCAATGTGCCACAAATGGTCACTAGGAGAAATGATCAGGCTATAAAATCTATCCCATTTCCCATCACAAATGAAAATGGTCTCTCACATACAAACATGGTAGTACAATCCAGCCTTAGGTGATTCCACTCCAGACCCTACAAAGATGACTCACTAAGTTTGCTATCACTGTGGCAGTGATAGCAAGAGGCAGTGACTCAATGACTGGAATCGCTCCAAGGCTCTGGGACATCCATAGCACCAGGTATCAATAAGAAAAGGAGGTATCTTAAAGTTAACTGCGTCACATATTTGAGTCTCTCGCTGTTATACACTTCATGTTACTTTCAGTTTATGAAATTATCTGGGTCCTTCTATAGTGAACCACAATACTTAATAAAGAACAAATATAAGCCAGGTGGTCCTGGGGCACACCTTTAAGCCCAGCACTCAGGAGACTGAGTTCAAGGGCAGCCTGGTCTGCATAGAGAGTTTCAGGGCAGCCAGAGTTACATAGTGAGACTCTGTCTTGAAAAAAGCAAAACAAATAAGAAAAGAACAGATACAAAACCAAATTTCATAAGGTAAAATATAAAACTAGTTTTCTAAGACCAGAAACTAATTTTGTACATATCAACTATGAATGTTTTCATTTTCACTTAGAAGTTTGGAAACAAAACCATCTTTAAATCTAAAAGACTACATTTTCTTATGTAACACAAATACATCAATTTTAACCTGTTATTTCTAAAATACAAAATTAGCCTATGTGTTCATCAACAGATAAATGAATGAAGAAAATAGTATACATATGCACAGTGGAATTCCATTCAGTCATCAAGAATAAAATGTATCTCAGCAGGAAAATAGGTAGCATTGGAAACTATTGTATTAATGGAAATAAACCAGATCCTAAAAGACAAGAAGTATCATGTTTCTCTCATATGTGGAATTTAGATTGATTTTATATATATATATATATATATATATATATATATATATACTTATATATACTCATATATGTGACATGAAAGTTGAAGGGGCCAATGGTAGGGAGAACATTACAAGACAATAAGTCAGAAGATAAAATGAAAAATGAAAAAAGTACAATGATAAACATGCATGGAACTGTCATAATTAGATCCATTATTTTATATTTAATTTTAAAAATTATTTTTAAGAATCTGCTGACATCTGAAAATGAGGTTGTCATGGACCTAAGTTCCACTTTTGAGCAAGTTTTCAAACTCATCTTCTTCAGATACCAGTTTCTAAAATAAATCTTTTTTTAGTCTACATATTGTATTTAGTCTACATTAGTAGACTAATACATAATACTAATACATAAAACTACATACTAATACATAATACATACATAAAACTAAATACTAATACATAAAAAAAAAAGAGTGCAGGGCATGTTGGCACATAGCTTTAATCCCAGCAGTTGGGAGGCAAAAGCAGGTGGATCTCGGAGTTCCAGGCCAGCCTGGTCTACAAATAGAGTGGGGAGACTTACAAAAAAGAAACTAAGATGTTTCATTGACATATGGTTTCCTTATATTTGTTGACCCCAGGTTTTTTTGTAAATTATTTGAATCAACTATTCAAAAATTATTCTGTAATCCTCGTGGGCACAATGTTACCAACAACAGTTAAAAATCCCACTGAAACCAGCTTAGCTCCCAACTTATGTGTGGATGTTTCAGTTCATGTTTTAGACATCCTGTATTCCAAAAACTCAGCTGATTTTATACGATCATTCACTTCAGGAAATTCTCGTTGACTCACTGAGCTCATTGCCAACACCTCAAAACTTGGCTCCAGCTCTCTAGCCTCTTCCTCCTCGAGTTCATCCTCCATTATATTGTCAATGTTCTAACTGAAAACCTGATTGCAAAGTACTTAAAAAAAATCTTCATTTCCGCCGGGCGTTGGTGGCGCACTTCTTTAATCCCAGCACACGGGAGGCAGAGGCAGGCAGATCTCTGTGAGTTCAAGGCCAGCCTGGTCTACAGAGTGAGTGCCAGGATAGGCTCCAAAGCTACACAGAGAAACCCTGTCTGGAAAAAAAAAAAATCTTCATTTCCCAAACCAATCTACAGGATAAATGTGACTCTGTAGTCCTGCTACACAAGGTCTCACACTTGGAGTCACTTTCCCTTCCATATTTCACTTTCACACAAGCTACCTAACCATACACTAACACTTTCATTGTCTCCTAACAAGTTATTTTCTTTCACACTCAATTACTCTTGAGGAGAGAGGGGGGAGGAGGAGGAGGAGAAGGAGGAGGAGGAGGAGGAGAGGGAGAGAGAGAGAGAGAGAGAGAGAGAGAGAGAGAGAGAGAGAGAGAGGAGAGCTTCCTATGTTTATGTTTACAATGGATCTCTCCCCTCTAATTTGAAATTTTCTTTCTCACCCATTTAGTTCAGTTCAAAAATCACACACACAAAAACCTTCCACCTCTCATACACCTTAGTACACATGGCCATCCTCTGATCGTTCAAAAGCATCTGGGATGGTGTTTACCTGGAATCTGACAAATGCCTAAGGGAGCACCCGGCCCCTTGAAGCCACAATTGAAGAACATAAGGATATTCCATTCATTCTTACACACATGTGTAATAATAAGCATACACACGAGCTGGAAATATAGTCTGGTTTATATTGACAAACACATGAAGTTAGAGATTACTAAAACTTCGGATCCTTTCCTTTGGACAGTGTTAACTATCTAGAACAGCAGAAGAAAAGTGATCGTCATCAGAACCGATCTGGCAGCATCCTATTCAAAATTTTTCAGTGTTTTGAACGCCAGCATCTCCACCCAGCAGAAAGCTAACTTAATTTAAAAGGAGAAAGCCAAAGAGAAGAAACAATGTAATTAGTTTCGTGAAGGTCAGCACTCCAGCACTCAGCACCTTTGAAGGCAAGAAGCCTTCCATTGTCCATCGTATTCCCGGCGCTAGTAGAGATAACTCAGTCATGCAAACAATAATTTGATACAATAAATAACGTTTCCAGAAAGAAACGAGTGTGTTAATGGTGTGTTTCCACCCCCATTTCATCATCTCCAATATAAATATCTTACAAATTTACGGGAAGTTTCACAATTCAAACGTATTGGCCAGCAGTAATTTCTTTCCGATAATCCCCTGGGTTAAACAGAGCAGAGATTCTTTGTCAGGATTTAGAAAGACTGAACAACAGGCTCTGGAAATGCAGCTTTTCGTTCATTCTTTTCTTTTTGAAGTATTCT